AGCGACTGTAGCACACGCAGCTGCACGAGTTCAGGACAGGACCATTGTAGTTTGCTTCGAGATACCAGTCATCTGGACTGCTCACTGTGCCTGTTCGGTGACATGCCGTCTGACAGACGTTCAAGCCGCATATTTCCAGCGTGCAAGGAGAGTTTGCATTGGATTGTGTGACACCGCTATTGGTCAAGCAGCCATCGAAAGAGGCAGTGAGAGCAGTGATGACGTTGACTGAAGCGGCAAGGAGGAAGGCGGTCGTAAATTTCATGTTGGGCGGATTGAGGTTATGGCGATGGGATGGTGAGATCCGGAGTTTGTTTAGTAGAGAGGCGAGAAGGCGAGGATTGGGTATGGTTTGTATAAACAGATGGTGAAGCTTACTGATAAGAGGTTTATGTAGTCTCGAGAGTAAGATCAAGAACTTGGTTGCATTTATGTACATATGCCTGCATGCCCCTGACTACTGCGCTGTCTTGGCGCTTTAGTTCATACATAAAAAGCCAGAAATTATATGCCCTACTCTGCAATAGGTCCGATTGTGAGACTTTAGATACTTATCTGACAATAGGGCTAATTATGCCAGATTGGACGTAGGCCATAGCACGAGGACGCGTGTATTGTGGATGCGAACATGAATAGCAGCAACAACATGCACCAAAAGCAGGAGTTCGCTGTCAAAACTTGACCCGATTCTGTAAGCTCATGTGCATGGGTTTCTTAGTATAATTACTAGTACATTTTCGTAAATAATATGCAAAGCAACAGGACTGCAGAGCCACACCAACAATCTTGCCGGTTCTGTTCTTAGTGCTGACTCCTAACTTCACTAAACATGTTTCTTTATAATGTCCCGTGTCGATCACTTTATCTTCCAAGAAAGTAGGCATTAGCAGCCAATTGTCCCACCGTCTCGTGCGGCCCTTTTCTGGGTAAATCCCGCTCGTAAGTATATACTCTCATGATGCCCAGGAAACTACATCCGCACAGCGGCGTCTGAACTCTCAAAAGAGATTGGATGTTCTAGGGTAACAGATATCATTCACACACTAGTAACAGATGTCATGGTTACTATGTGTAATGACATCCATGTTAGCTGCGTATTCGTGATGTTTGTGTCTTGGCACTCATACTGTATAGACGAAAAGCTTGTCTCGCAGCTACTCAACGGTCACCACTATGTATAATATTTATACACCCAAGCCCCTCTCTGTTCCGGGCAGTATGGCAAACTTCAGTTTGCGATGTATCCTTAGAGAGTCATACGACCAGGCGACGAAATCCTTGCAACTAAAAATAAGATCAGTGAGTGCATCCTATGTGAACATGCGAGACGGGTCATTGCTATCATGATATTATTCATTGGGTATAATCACCGGAACCTAGCTAATACACACGGGCTTGCATTTGTTCAAACATCTCGACGTTAACCTTATTCATCATCTTGATCATCAATCATAACTCTCTTCCATGTTCCCGCTGGCTAGCAATTACAGTGTATATCTGAACCCCTCGAGCCCCTCAATAATCTTACCACCACTGGCAGCTCTCTTGTTTGCTCTCCAGAACTTGAAGTTCAGCAAGAGCGTGATAAGGATAATCATGCCTGCTGAGATCATGCAGGCAATAATACCAGGGACGTATTTGGGAGCGTCCTGGGTCCGGAAGACTGTGCCACCAATTATACCGCCGACTCCTCCGGCTCCAACGAGGGTAGCAGAGCAGAGAGCGCGCTTCCATTGACCACGGATGTTGTTTGCTTGCCAGGTGAGAATGCAGGGAACGTTGGCATTGGCTGCTGCGGTGGCGAGGAAGACCCCTGGGAGATGTTTAGCATATGAACTGAAGACAGGTTACATAGTATAACTTACCGAAATATCTGACACCAGTATTGGAGCTGAAGCCCATCATAGGGAGGCCAATAAGAGCAAGGACACCGTTGGCAATGACCCAAGGAGAGCGGATCTGGTACTTGTCACCAGCCCACGCGAAACCGATCATGACAAATCCAGCGAATACGTAGGGCGGGGCGATGAGACAGTTACTAGCAGCAGCGCTGAAGCCCATTCCGTCTTTGAGGATGATGGGAAGGAAGTACGCAATAGCGTACGTAATCGTAGTGGTAAACATGAAAATTAGTGCGAAGCCCCAGACCTTGAGGTCCATGCCGCCGGCGAGGTACTTCTTGAGGTCGAATTCATCGGCGACGACATCGTGGCGGTCCTGCTCGATTCTTGCAACAATGAAGTCCACCTCTTCCTGTTCGAGGAACTTCTTTTGAGCCCTGCTCGGCTTAGCAGCCAACTCTGGGAAATCCACAATATAGTACCATCCGACCAGACCGATGACGACGGTAATGATTCCTTGCAGCATGAAGATCCAACGCCAGCCAGACAAGCCTGGGCCAAATCCGACGGGGGTTTTGGGCGCTTTCTTTGTTGGACCATAATGCGGGCCGAGCCACTCCGCCGCTTGATAACCATGGCCATTGAGCAGGGAGAAGACATAACCAAGGATGCCGGAGAAGGCTGAGGACAACATTCCGATGAGGAAAAAGAAGGTGTTGCGCTTTTGAAGCTCGTACCGTTTGTACCAGCAAGAAAGAAGGTATGCGGAACCTATTAATGTTAGCATTCCATCTTTCTCCTCTTTTCTAAGATTTGGAGAAGGTATTTCTACACATACCCGGGAAGAAGCCGCTTTCTAGCACACCTAGCAGGAGGCGGAGCGGAATCAGAGCAGTCCACTCCTTGACGAAGCCGAAACCAATCATGACAGCTCCCCAAAGGACCACGATGGATGGCAAAAAAAGCTTTGGGCCAAACTTTCTCAGGACGACAGTAGCGGGAGGCTGCAGTGCAACATAGGTGATGAAAAACAGCAAGACAATAATGCTGTATCGCTCGCCTGTGAGTTTCAGGTCGACACCCATGCCTGCTACCATGGCGACACCAAGATTGGTACGGTCCATGAGCGAGACACAGTACATGCAACCGAGCGTAGGGATAAGCCGAAAGTCCACCTTGCGAATAATCTTCTTTTGTTGCTCAGGAGTAAACCGCTCGATAGCAGCGTTGTTAGCTGACGTGTCGGACTCGACGCGTTCGATGGCGGCGACATCGCCTTTCTCGTCGGCGAAAGAGGACATGATGGTATCGGTTTGTCCAACAACTTTCTGGGTATGTTACAGAAGCACTGGTGCTCAATTGCCCCGCCAAGTGCTTCAGGGGTCGACCAAGTCGATGAAAGAGGAGTGAGGACGCAGCTACTAGAAAAGAGGGAGCTGATGATGAAAACAAGATTCCTCAGCTGACTGTGGGATATGTGCCTTCATATACTCAGGGGCTTCCCCAGATTGTGGAGCTCCATCTTCCCCAGATTCCTTCGCCGTCGGCTCCACCGTACCCCAGACTCAACAGCACGGTCAGCCTGTATGTCCCTACCCCATATGTGGAATAGGTTCTCCTGAACTATCGCTAACAAGTCCCATTGGCCTACGCCCGATGCGATTTTCAAGAGTTATAGTTTCGGAGGCAGCTTACGGTAGCAGTTAGCAGGCCCGCATACCAAGAAGGACCGAACAGTTGGCAGGCTGTGGATGCGCCACCCTGACACTGACAGCATGCCGGTATCTACTCCGGGACACGACAGTAGCGTCTTGCGGAACGATTTTGATGGTCACGCCCAGTCGTACCCCGCGTGGGAATGCAGTGAACTACCATTAAGCTGAGCAGGTTGTGACAAGCTGAGGTCTCGGCGGACGCATAGTGCGCAATCCGCCGTACGCTACAGGCACGCGGCGTCGGCCTAGACTCTTGGCTAAGGCTGGTACCCGCGTGTGTCTTGCCGATTTTCTTGGTCTTTGCGTATATTCAGGGCATTATCCGCTGGTGTTGAGGTTGGGTACACAGACAAGATGTCATGAAGGTGCGGAAGCTTTCTCTATCCACGTACCCCTTGTGCGTAAGACGGGGTACAGTAATCGACACGGCAAAGGTAGGGGCTGATCCGACACGCAAATCAGATCTGAATTGGTTCTTTATACATGATTGTTGAGTCTGAATATCCATGTTTATTGAAGAACGGATCATGTGAATGTTTGCGTTGCTATGTGATAGAGATTGAGCATGTATATAGCGGAAGTTTACCGCCTTCATGTGTTGCGCGTATCATTACCCCACCTCCAGTCAACCCATCGATGATCGCATTGTACATCATACTGAAGCAACGGCAACTTGAGCGGGAGTTGAAACGTTTTCCGCGAGCTTGGCTTGACATCATATCAATTTGTTCCACTCCCAACAATGTTTATTCTTGTTCATCTTTCTGCAAAAGCTCCCACACTGTCGTTGCATACAGCAATCATTCCACTTCTGCTACCCGCAAGCCACATGTTAGCATCACCGGGCGCTGGAATTGAGTTCGATGTCGTCGAAAGTGCCGAGGCTCGGAGTCAGACGCTTATTCGTCAAGGCTTCGTGGCGTCTTGGGAGAATCAGAAGACTGCAAAGCATACATGCCTATTTCGGACAAACTTTGCCGACTGAAGTATACATATCACACCAACACATTAGCGTGTTGATATTTTCGGCGTCGCGTCCATTATAGGTTGGTCCAAGAGGAAACATGTTGTCAAAGGCGCGGCCGAAGGGAAAGCCTAGACGAACACAGCCCTGATGAAAGAGGCAACCAAGACACGCGCTGGGCATGCAAAAGTCTCACGCTAGAGGCTGAAGAACGGCGATTGCCCGAACCAGGGTTGTCTCGTGGTAAAATCGCCGGGGTACCGCTGAGTCGGGTTACGCAGCGCTCGATACGATGGCTTGAATCTAGATGTCTTCCGACCGAAGAGATCTTGTCTTAAGTAGATAACCACGTGGGAAAAAAGGCTGGTGAAGGGTCCGCAGTCCAATCATTGGTGGTTAAGACCTAGTTGTATCGCTCAACTCAGAAGCAAGAGTGCGCAAAATGCAACTGTCAATTTTCTTTCGGGCAAAACAAAACCACTACTTGAAATCCTTTTCGCTCAAAGAATCTTCTGTCTTCTGTATCCTTTCCCATGTCTCACTCCACTTCTCCCATTCACCATCCGGTAGCTTTCCCTGGATTGGCAGCCGTCCGCCTTCCATAGTTCCAAAACCGGTTACTCTCTTTACAGCCTCTTTGATGCCGACGACGCCATATTTACCAATGAACTCTTCTGTTGTGCTAACAGTATATTGCAACTCCTTGATCTTCTTGAGGTTCTCATCGGTGATGGGCCTTGTCTCGGCAAGCTTCATCAAGGAGCACACAGTCTTGGGATATATGGCGGCGAGCCCGTCAATGACACCAGCTGCGTCAAAAATGACAATGGGACCCAGTTGTTGACCGAGACCAGAGTAGACGCGGAACTTGTTGTGGTCGATTTTCGGGTCTAGCGAGACCTGGTTGTGCCATGAGACGACGGCATGCGACATCTTGCAACCGACAATGTTGGGGTGTTGCGCGAGGACGCGGTAGGTATCAGGTGTTACCATGACTCCGTTTGTCACGCCGGGGTAGTTGTAGCTAGCATTTGTTAATTCATATCGCCTCTCTCTGTCTTTCGTGGCCTACATCAGTATTGGTAGCGGGCTCTTGTCTGCAACAACAGTAAACCACTCTCTAATTCCCTCTTGACTCGCTGCTGCACCGAAATACCCTGGCGCAAGCACCAGTCCCCACTGTGCACCGGCTTTCTTGAAGTCCTCTAGCCACTCCAATGTCTCATCGACGCTGTTGATCAGTGTTCCCGCCATGATCGGATAGTCCTTGAAGCCTGCGTCTTCGAGTCCTTTGCGCACTCCAGACACGACATCGATACGCTCTTGTCGCGACATGTGGATTGCTTCGCCGGTTGAGCCAAGCAGGACAAGCCCGCGCACTCCATTTTTGGCGAGAAACACTGAATGATCGATTTGTGTCTGGACGTCTACGGCGGCTTGGAGGGTACTAGATGCAGACTTAGGTTTGAAAAACGTCGGGACGGGGACGAAGACGCCGGTTGGTGGGGATAACGTCATAGTAACGGTTCGTAAGGAGAACTTTGTTTTGCTTTTTTTTTTTCTCAACGTCGACTTCCCTTGCGGAACGAACTGATATATGCTGATTGATTTTTGATGCTTTCAGAGGGTTTTCGCGCTTTATTGCGTGCAGGGCGCATTAGCAGCTCGGGTTGCTTTACCCCAGTTCCCGAAGTTGCGTGCCCCGCGGTGGAGAAGATGACCCCGCGCTCGCTGCCGCTCGGGGTAGTACCGCGAAGAGTACCTAACCGTAGAAGCGGTTTAATTGGACCAGAAAGCACGTCGGGTTTTGGACATGGCCGTACAGTTACTTTCTTCCCGATGGCTGGCTCTTTTTAAATGTCACATTTTCTTCGATATAATCACTTGAAACATTATCTAGCCCAGCCTTGGCCTGATTTATCACAAAAGACTACGTCCTGAGAATAAGAAAATGGGAAAGATTGCAACCATCGAATATTTCAGAGTACCACCGCGATGGCTGTTTGTCAAAATCACTGATGTCGACGGGAACTTCGGCTGGGGTGAAGCTTCCCTTGAAGGCCACACGCAAGCAGTCGAAGGATGTCTAGATGCCTGGGCAGCGCGCTATGTCGGTTTTGAAGCCGAGTAAGACGTTCGATATCTCCAATTTGAGACCAGCTAACAATACTCTAAGTGACATTGAACACATCTGGCAGATGTCTTGGCGTACCAGCTTCTACCGCGGCGGTCCTGTCTTCATGAGTGCATTGGCAGGGATTGATATTGCCCTCTGGGATCTAAAAGCACGGAAACTAAACGTACCAATATACCAATTGCTGGGAGGTAAAGTCCGGGACCAGTTGAAAGTATACGCTTGGATCGGTGGAGATCGACCAAGTGACGTTAAAGAACAAGCGTAAGTGACCATCATAAGATCAGCGTTTAAGACAAATTTGGTTTTTAACAAAACACTTACAGTCTTAGCCGTAAAGCACAAGGATTTCACGCTGTAAAAATGAACGCCACTGAAGATGTTGGTTGGCTCGATAGCCCTTCCAGCCTCGAATCTGCTGTCGACCGTCTCAAAACAGTCAAAGAGTTGGGAATGGATGCTGGCATGGATTTCCACGGCCGCGTCCACAAGCCAATGGCGAAACAACTAGCCAAAGCTCTCGAACCACATCACCCCTTGTTTATCGAAGAGCCGCTGCTATCAGAGCACATTGGTGGCATCACTTCCCTACACACCCAGACCTCCATCCCCATCGCGCTCGGCGAGCGTCTCCACTCGCGCTGGGACGTGCGCCCTTTCCTTGAAGCAGGCTGCGTCGACATTCTGCAGCCTGACATCTCGCATATCGGTGGTATATCAGAGATGAAGCGAATAGCAGCTATGGCGGAAGCCTATGATGTAGCTATCGCTCCCCACTGTCCTCTTGGTCCTATAGCACTCGCAGCCTGTGTTCAGGTCAATTGCACGCTGTCTAATTTTACCATTCAGGAAATGAGCCTCGGTATCCATTACAACGCTGGTAGCGAGGATCTTACGTCGTATACGAAAAACCCAGAGGTATGGGATGTGAAGGACGGTTTTATTCGGTTGATGGAGGGACCAGGTTTGGGTATTGAGGTCGATGAGGAGTGGGTGAGGAGGGAAAGTAAGGAGGCCAAGGCTTGGTTGGTTCCTGGATTTATCGGGCCTGGGGGTGAGATTAGAGAGTGGTAGTTGCAGTCAATTATGACAATCAAGTTCAAGCAGCAGGTAGTAAACTTCTTTTATATTCCGACTTTGCTGGTTTGTCGTTTGCTTCAGCCCACTTCTTTGGTGTTCTGTCATATATATACAGCACGAGACGTGATTCTTTACGTCGTTACCAAGATCCAGGTACCCCTCCACAGATGATCATTGAGTGCTTTCAAATAGCTCCATGATTCCCTGATTTGCTGCTCTTCGACCTGAGGCAATCCCTGAACGCTCGGGGTAGGGAGGTGTCGGCGATTCACCCAAAAGTCCAGAGGAATGTCTGATGGGCGGGGAAAGATTGGTCGGCCTAAGCCCACTGGACAGGAAAGGCGTCGGAGGGATGATCATATGCTGCCTCTCTAGTACGCATTCCAAGGTCGTGAAAGATGCGGTTACGTCGGCCACAGAATTATTCGCCTGTTCATGTTCGGAACTACTAGCCTTCTTCGTTCCTACCTGCGGTGACACTTGTGCGACGAACGATCCTAGATGTTCCATCACACTCTGGTCTATTTCCTCGTCATTGTACACAGTACCACCCCATAGTAGTGCCTCCCATGGCCATACGAATCCATCGTCCTCCCATGGCCAAGTGTGTGTTTCGACGTACTCGAGCAGTGCGACAACAATGAATATAATAGCTCCCACACCAAGGAACCCAACCTTTTTTCTTCGTTAGCGCTTTAATTCTGTAGAAAGTCATCAGTAGGCTGGAGAAAGTACCTACCACTGCTGAGCTCAGCTCTTCTGGTCGCGGGAACCACCCTGGCTGCTCAAACTCGGCAATGGCGAAGACCAAGACGAGAAAGAGACATAGGCATGAATAGTAATTGTTTGTAAGGGTTGTGGATATGACGCAGTATTCCGATCGGAGAGGGGCAGGAAGGAAGAAATCGACGATTGTTGTGGTGACACGATGAAGCAGCGTCGGCGTTGCGACTGGCCGGGATTCTTTGTCGCCGGTTTGTAGCACCGGAGCTGTACAATGCGGCATTGCGCCAGTGTAATGGTTATCCATAATTATTTCAATTAAATCGCAGATGCTGTTCAAGGCGTTGATATAGTGATGAGTGGGTCAGTTAGCTGTGAGATGCACCTTCCAGTGACGAAAAGAAAAATCCGAAAGTGGCTGGAGGAAAAGTCCCACTTACCAGTGAATGTGAAAGTGAATCATTATCAAAGCTGCAGCTAGATGCTTCGATTGTGAATACACGTCACCCAGCCTTTCTTAGACCTTGGGGAAAGCGTTCGAAGCTTTTCATGTTTGCCCTTCGCTTGTTTCCTTCAGAAGGCACTTCTGCCCCGTCATATCACCCAATAACGCATCGATGTAATTTAACATTGTGTTATCAGTCTTACGGTGGTGAGAGCGCTGGGCAGAGCAAACACGACGTGCGTGTTACACAACAGGGCTTAGTAATGGATAGTTAAGCGCCCTTGGTCTACGCCGCAACTCAAGCTCCTAGACGTTTCCCCTCCTCTCTCTTTCACCCTACAAAATATCTATTGAATCGCCTACTTATTGTAAATGAGCATATTCCATCAACATCAGCTTTTATTTCTTGCGATACCAGCTGACGCCAATCACTACACTTCCTCCCGCGGTTTCCCTCTTATCGTCAGCCTCGCCAACTGCACGCACCATACCAACCTAGTCAGAAAACTTGCACCTTGTTACGTTCCACATACGTTCGCGGCAAAAGATGGCTTCCACACAGTACCAGCATTACATTCCGCAGTTCATGCTGCGAAGATTTGCGGTAGTTGAACAAACAAGCCCATCTAAAGTTTCGAAGCGCAACCGAAAGAGTGAAAAGCAACATCGCAATCGCAATGCCACTGTCAAAGTGCTACATCTGAGAAGAAGTCCACCCAAGATAACAAATGAACTTGTCAGACGGACTTTCGGCCAACAGGACATGTACAACGATGGCCTTAAGGACTGTGTAGAAACAAAGTTGGGGGAGATAGAGAGGGAAGTAGCCCGAATCATAGCTCGAGCGGTAGATGCACAAGAAGCCGGCAAGGAGGGGATCTCACTCCTACGCTCCGAAAAAGACTTGTTGCGCAAGTTCCAGTTCGTTATGAAGTACCGTTCTCCGATCTTCTTTCGTCGCTTCAACCATCAAACTGCCGAAAGCTACGACTCTGATGATCGAGATAGATTTCTGGAGTATATGAGGGATAATCAGTTCTCACGGCCGCTCGATGTATGGGTCGACAATCTAGAGAAGATCATCGACACACCCATGGATCCCGCTGGTGATTGGGCGTGGGAACTTTTGGGAAGGATTTATCCCCCTGATGCACTTTGGCTTGCCCAACACGTTCGATCCATGTACATGGCTTTTGTTACGCCCTCAGATCCTCAGGAAGAATTTATTCTAACAGAAAATGCATTCGGCATTCATGAAGGGCCTGTTAGCTACTCTGTGAACAGGTTCACGGGCAAGAAGAAGCAAACAGTCTACACTGAGTTTCACCTGCTGACAGTCATCTCACCACGGCTCGCTATCGTTTTCCGTAGCGAGGAAATGCCAGAGCCGCTCGAAGACCTTATTCCAAGGGTCCGTGAGTGGAAATCAACCATGTTGGCTATGACCGCGCACATACACGCGGATCCAGAGCACGTAACATCCTTACTCGAGGATCTCCCTATTGCAAAAGCTCGAAATTCTTATACGACTGTGAGAAATGGGCGGATCGAGCTGGCTGAAGGTGCCGATGGAGTGCCGAAAATGAATGACAAGTTCGTCTTTATTTTCTTTCCCCTCGAGAGTGATCATGCTCAGAAAATCAACATGGTAATGCTAGACCAAGCACACGATATCGACAAGTTGGTTTTTAAGTCTGAGACAGCACTTCTAAAGGCGATGGAATTCTATCTGGAATATCCGTGTCTGACACGAGGACTTTATTCGATGAAAACGGTCAGCGATGACCCTGACGACCCGAGGTTGCGATTCTTAAAACAGATGGAGGATGTAGCTAGTATGTTGGGATCCAGTACGACTGCCAAGTACCATGTGGATCCTCTCTGGGAAGATGACGAAGCTATACCCCTTGAGACGGCTGTTGCTCAAGTTTTGGCGACCACAACAGACACACCAGAGAAGGATCATACTACCTTGGCAACTGAAGTTCTTATGAACACACTGATAAAGATGAAAAACAACATCACAGTGAGTAACAAACCAGATCAGATCCAAGACAGTCTGCTTGTTTTTCCGGACGCGGTGTATCGATGCATTCAAAAAGCCTGTAAAGAAAAGCCGGGTCGACGCACTGATCATCTTCTTAAAATTGACCGGCGATCATTGGTACTTTCATGGGTCAGAATTTTCAGTGCAGCAATAGGAAATTCAGAAAATGGCGATGTTGCAGCTATGCGCGAAAAGCTAAGGCAGTTCGTCAATAATATGGATGCCGAAACTCCTCAGGAATCTGAGAGGCCTATGAAGCCCGCACCAGGACCCCCAGCACAGGCTCCCATGTCCCAGCAAGATTCCTCGCCAGGATTTTCCAGACAGGGCCTCAACAGAGCCTTTGAAGACATCGGAAGGCATATGGAGAGGGAGGAGACCCCATCATCTGCACAGATCCCGACCAATCAATCATTCTCGCATTGGACGACCGATGTTGTTAAGAGTAACGAAGAGAGTAATCCAGTACAACGATCCGAAGAGATGGAAGCCAAAGGCGACGCTTCTCTTGATGATGCACTAACTGCTGCACCAGCTGTCGTGTCGAATAACAAGGACTGGCGAGATACTCTGTTTTTTTGGATGATCGTTATTTTCGCTTCTATTCTCATATTACCCGCACTGCCCCTCGTGGCGCTTGCTCTCATCTACCTGTTTCTTGCTTTGGGCCCCGTATGGCTTGCCTTTCGTATGGGAATGATGGATCCGCGGCTTATCGAAGAACCTCACCACTCTATTCCCCCGCCAATTTACGGTTTGTATGTGTTTAGCGTTATCCTGTGGTGGTTTGGTTGTTATAGACATTTACTGCTAGATGAGCTCCCCTTCAGACATATGTTGCCTGAATGGTTAGCTCGTTGCACATGAATGGGGAGAAGAGATACAAAAATCCCACCGGTCAGGATAAAGACGGACGTGCGGCCATGCTATTGCTGATTGGGAGACCATGGGGATATACTAGCTCCAGATATGGGCCGGCGTGGAGCGAATCACAACGTCTCGGCTGCCTTGCTGGATATGGCAGTATTGGTTCGACATGCGTTCCTTTGAAAATATGTATTCACAATGGAACTGTGCGTACTATTCCGTATCGAATTTGTCGTAGAGAAGGGTCATGTACCCCTTGAAGAGCTGCATGCGTACCAGCGATACAGACGCGTCGGTACACCCTACACGCACGTCATTGTGCATGAGATCACACGAGCACTTGCTTCTTCAAGCCGGCCGGACGTTGATGTTTTGTTCTGAAAATTGAGATAGCGCGGTCAGCAAAAATTCAAGGTAGTAGGGCCGACTTTGAGTCGCGGATGTGGGACCGGGCTCCCTTATCGGCAGCAGCACCCATGGTTGGCGGACTTCATATACCGAACAGAATGTTGGCAGCTTCCCAGTATTAATTGTCCAATCCTCCGGAAAATCGGGTTCCTGCATTCTTTCTTGCTCGCTTCCCCAGTCGCCCACTTTTTGGGACTCAGAAACATCAATCATTGAAACAAAGAATGCGGACTTCAACCCTCAACACAGCCTTGTGGCTGGCATTTGCTAGTTCTTTCGGCACAGCAACACCCCATTATGGCGCTCATCACAAAACCCAACTCAAGCACTGGCCTGCCGATGCTGCCAAAGCGCTGAATACTATGATTGCGCGCAATGCGAATCAGAGCAACTATGCGGTGTTCGACATGGACAACACGAGCTGGCGCTACGACATCGAGGAGTCGCTTCTTCCCTTTCTCGAGAACCGCGGTATCCTCAAGCGCGAAAACTTGGACCCTAGCCTAAAGCTGGTTGATTTCAAGGATACGGCGAATTTCACAGAATCGCTTTTCAGCTACTACAACCGTCTGTGCGACATTGACACATTTCTCTGCTATCCGTGGGCGGCGCAAGTGTGGTCTGGCTTCACACTTCGCGAGTTAAAGGGCTACGTCGATGAGCTAATGGCGTACAACTCGACCATCCCTACGAAATACTGGGACGGCGATGAAGTAGTTTCCAGCAGCGTCCATACACCCCAAGTTTTTCGGGGCCAGGCGGAACTATACAATGCGCTCATGGAAAATGGCATTTCCGTCTACATCATGAGTGCCTCGCATGAGGAACTCGTACGGATGGTGGCCAGCGATCCAAAGTACGGATACAACGTTCCACCCGAGAATGTCATTGGCGTTACCACGGTCCTCAAGAACACTACATCAGGCGCGGTCACAAACGCACGGGAGCAGATTACCGCAGGCACATACAACGAAACCGCCAACCTTGACCTGGTTGTGACTCCTTACCTCTGGACCCCAGCCACCTGGTTCGCGGGTAAATGGGCTGGTATCCTGACCTACATCGATCAATGGAAGCGCCCGATCTTGGTCGGTGGCGATACGCCCGGAAGCGATACATACATGCAGTTTCACGGCGTAGATGTCTCGAAGGGTGGCATTCATCTGTGGATCAATCGCAAGGATTCGTACTTTAAGCAGCTGCAAGAAGAGATCAAGAACACTACTCTTGCGCAGATTGCGAACGGACGGGAGGTCACCGCAGACAAGAACTGGGTCGTGGTTAAGCCAGAGGAAATTCTGTAAATAACGTCTTTAAATTTCAAGGCCGGTTCAAGAGCCGATGAATAATGAGATATAATTGTTGAAAGTCGATGGACGAAGAAGAAGAGTGTTTAGTGACGCGTGCATGTCCAAGCGCACTAGTAGCTGACATAATCGCTCGGCTGAGCTCCCCTTTCTCGAACTCATTTGTTCTTGCCATCTCCTGCCTCCTAGCTCTACCCGCCACAAACTGACTTCAACTGATCTGACGCGTAAGAGCGCGCATAAAACATGGACCGTGTTGCAAGTTTCCATAGATGCAGGTACGTTGCAATCTTGAATAACCAATCCGAGACTCCCATCCGTACATGATGATCCCACATTACACTTGAACCGAGTGTCTTGAAGTCCCGCTCAACTTTCGCGCATGTTGTGGTTTGTGTATACTAGCCCGGATGTGAGAGACTGTAGCGGGCTTGAGATACCATGCGCGAGTAGAAGATAGCTCTGATATTCCACAAAAACACTTTGCCGTCACATGATCAAATGGTACCCTTGTTAACATTGATCCAGGTATTTGTTGATGCGTGCCTCCCGATTTCTGGGGATATCAAGCGCCAGTTGTGTATGATGCGAAAAAAAGCAGGAGTGGAAAACTCTTTCCAGTTCATCTGGTGACCACAGTCCATCATTCTCCCACGAGGAGGCCGCTCAATTTTGGGGGCTCCTCCTCCTCATCCGCTTCTACAGCTGGCTGCAAAATCTTGGACGGCGGAGGGTTAAGCCAGGGTTCGCTGTACCAGAGCACGTGCTTGTGCCTCAAGCGCTGCTGCTGTAACACTGTGCTCAAAATTTGCATTGTACTGGCCCCGCCAGCTTCCCTAGCATGGGCCTTTCCACTTGTGTAATGCCGGATCATGTTGCCATTGCAATCAGAGATATATTCATCCCACGTTGAGTACGGACTTTTCGAGACTGATATTACTATACAAGTGAGACATGCCCGCTTCGGCCAGCACAGTAAATGTGGTAAACAAGTTCATCCATGATTAACAAATGAAAAGACTCTATGACCCCCAAGCCCATTCAATAACCCAGTATTTTTCGTCTCCAAAGACATTGTACTGTCAAGTTGAGATCCCCCTCAAACCATTCTTCCACCTCTAATTCCCCGCACCACCCCCTCTCTCCATGATCTAGACCTCCAGCTCTACGTCCTCAGTCTCTCCCCCAAAACCTCCTTATACTCCTTCTCCACAACCCCCAACAACACCCCCGCACTTGGCCGCTGCTCCACCGTTTCCAAACCCTTCATCACACACCCATTCAAGCGATCCGAATACTTCGGACTCGGTCTCCGCCGTCGAAACCACAGCGCCGTCTTATCCTTACCTCCCAACTCCGGGTCACGAAAACTCGGTATGTCGGCATCGGTATCGAGATTAATCGGGATAACTCGCCTCGGTGCCTTGGCAGCCCAGTAATTTCTCTTTTGTGAGTCCGAGTATGTAGGGGGGAAGGGCGGTTCGGTGTGAGTCTCGAACCACTGCGCTTCCACGACCGCAGGGTCGACTATCGGGGGGAAGTTATGCGCCAGTTCGTGCATTATAGCTGCGATACCCCAGACGTCGCTGGCTGGCGAGAGCTGTTTGGTTTCCCAGGTTACTTCGGGCGGCCAGTAGTATGTTGTACCGATGTAGCCAGAGGGATTTGGGTGAGCTGGGTTGTGGTAACCTGCCATACCGAAGTCTGCGAGTTTGAGGTCGACAGTGGACCAGTCTGGAGCGGAGCCGAGGGATTTTACGAGGACGTTTTCGAATTTCAAGTCCCGGTGGACGATGGGGATCCAGGGGTGGCGGTCGGAGGGGTACGTTGGGGAGATGCCGTGGTGGAGGAAGGCGAGGGCGCTGAGGAGTTGGGTGTAGGTGGACCACATGAAGGGCTCTGAAAAGGTGGGTTTGTTTTGATCGATGCTTATGCTTCGGAGCACGTAGAGGTCTCCGACGGAACAGTATTCAAGGAGGATGGATACTTGGGTTGGAGATGGCACCTTTTCGTAGTGATCAAGGTATCTTATGATGGAGTCGTGGGGTGGCAAGTCACGGAGGATTTGTATCTCGGGGGATGGACGGTGGGTACGGGTCATTACCTTTACTGCGATAACGGTTTTAGTTGGGATGTGTGTCCATTGCTCGACACAGCCTTGTGAGCCCTCCTGGAGCGGGCCATCGTATTTGTGTGCTTTTGGAAAACCGGCAGAAGGGTCTTTTGGGTCGGGGCGTCTTCGAAAGGGAAGGGAGATGCATGGCATCGTGATTATGCTGGTTAAAGACTGGGTTGCTGGTAGATGAGGTTGCAGTCTTGTTTTGGTTTCGACTCATAACAAAGATGCATTTTTATACTGTGGGCAGGCGAGCTAAAGAGAAGTGAATGAGAAGGTAAGAGTGGGTCCTTCATTGCTGTTGGTTGCCTCAAGGACTAGTTGGGTAGGAAATCGGCTTTCATTATTTCGTGGTTTGGGAAGGAGTGAACTTTGGTAACCGCGACGTTTTGGGTCTGAGCTTTGGGTAGCTGCCTATTCAAATTGCAGGCAATTGTCATCACATTCTTGCGATATTGTCAAGATAGCCTTGATGAAATTTGTTTCTTTTCGCTAGCGCAGGAAGTGAGTGTTCTTTAGTTCTTCACGTATCTCAATATCTATTCAGATGATTTACGAAAACCATTGAAATATCATTCAGATACCACAGTTTTCACTGATTCTCATCTCGCGAATATGGCTATACGCAGCAGCGGATCAGGTATCACATGACACTATTTCCCCCTCTATTCATCTAGCGATAACGAGGCGAAATAGGAGTTTGGGGGGTAAATCTCAATATTCTCGTATACTTCTCTTGTTGATAGATTACTAGGGGAAATTTATTTAGTATATCAAAGAGCACGTGGAGTGGATAACTCAAGCTCGACGAATCACTATGTTAGGTTTCATTCACTCAACAGTCAACATACTGCTCAGCCAAATCAAATTTTACATTCACCAAACCACTATAAATGTTTTTCTCCTTTTCACTCCAATCCCAATAAACCCCTCTAATCAACCAACAAACCCGAAATTTTCTACACCACAACCACATTCACTCCACACCCTTAAACCCCCCACGCCTTCTCCCTCCTCTCAAACTCGGCAACCTCCGCCACCCAATCCGCCCTCTCCTGGCCAAAAATCTCTCCAATAATATATATCGTAGCATCGATACCCGAGCTCACTCCGCCGGCAGTCACAATGCGCACACCAGCATCCGTCGTACCCGCATCCACATACCGCTGCCTCACCACATCAACTTTGGACTCGCCGCCCGCAGCCTCATCCGCAATCGACTTTAGCAAATCATAGCTGAGATGATGCGTCGTCGCCGTGCGGTCCGCAAGAACACCAGATGCAGCCAGTAACAGCGAACCCGTGCACACGGACTGGAGGAACCTCTTCCCCGTCTCCGCACGCGGTTTCGCAGCCGCGAAATTTTGGATCAGAGTGAGGAGCTGCTTGCCGGGCTCCGTGGCAATCAGTTCCGTGATGATTTTGTCGTGGGAGCCGGGGATGACGAGGATGTCGTAGTCTGTGATTTGGTCGGCTATTTCGGCGAAGGTCTTGTTGGGCTGGTACACCAGGGCGGGTGAGGCCGAGACGACGGGGTTGGAGTGCGCAAAGGAAGTTACGTCGAAGGGGAAGGTGGCGTTTTCGTCCAGGGTGTCGCTGTGGCTGTACATTTCTGCCGGACCGGAGAAGTCGAGGAGGTCGGCTTGGGGGTAGAGGTAAATTGCTACTTTGAATTGAGGCATTTTTGGTGGAGGGATTGAATTGTTGGAAATAATTTGGACAATTGATGTGTAGATTGAGATGTAGAGTTTGTTGTGTGTTGTTGTTGATGTTTTGAGTTGGTATGTGGTCGCTTTTTATGTGAGCAATTGAGGTCGGATCGGATCAAGAGTTGTGATCCGGCTTCCGTGATGCTAATCCCGATGACCAATGGTCACGCTCCTTTGCGTCCCACAACGGAACTGCGAGAAGAAGCAACATTTTATTGCTTTGATTTCGAAAGAAAAACGATATGCTGTAGCGCGAATCGTTAATATCATTGGGCTTATGCACTCACCTGTAATACTATTTGTGAATGGTTGGCGGGGATGTGTTCCACACGAGCACATATGAGCCGGTTTCTGCTAACATATGATGAAAAACAACTTACTCCAGTCCTTGTTTGGGTACATAAACTGTGATATCCATGGGGGAAAAGTATGGAAAGTGGTGTAATAAGAGCCGAGTAGACATTACAAAGCGATTGCGCGGGAACGGCCTCAACCAGCCACACGGTCCTTTCGAACAGTATTCGATGCACCATATTGTTCTTCGAGTTCTGAAAACCCCTTCATTTGGGTGCACTAGATGTTGGGAGTAGTCTCAGACTAGTGTTTCCCGCCTACGGTCCATACTCGTTCAAGTCGACCCGATGTAACCCAAACACGCATGTTTTGGGTACTATAGAGCACAAGGCAGTGTCCTATCAATCGTTGATATCTCAAGTAGCACAAACATGTGTCTTGCGGAGTTAATGCTGTGTAGTGTTACCGTCATGTGCGATAAGCAGCTCAAGCTGGCGAAGCCCCGACATGAGCTCTCTGGCCCCTATCCCGTAGTTACTGAATCACCAATCAACGTCCTTAAATATGAGTTTCGTTTCCTGTATTTGGATGCAGTAGATTTGGACTGGGAACTCCCGCGATGCAGGGGAAATCGAGGTTCGTGGAATGTCAAGTAAGCCAGTCATAGTTATGGCGTTGATAGGCATGCAACTATGATTGGTTGCTATTGGTTGAACAAAGAGCCGTTGAAATATTTTCTGGAAACGAAATCGTTCTGTTCCAAGTTGTAAACATAGTGTAGAAGCAAATTTTGCAAATGCCAAGCACATCAGTCTTCGTTTGAGTCGAGAGCTGGAGGGTTTCTCTCGATAGCATTAGCCTTTGTTCGTCTAGATTTAGAGAGTTTTATGTAAGAAATAGAGGGGGCAGTTCCAAAATCAGTGCGAACTGAGTCAGTGATTCCGAAAAGTGAAAAGGCAGCAGCTTCCTGGTCTTGAAGACGTGTACTCGTTACTTGGCTTGATAACAGATACGCTCGTACGGCAACTTTGGTAAACACCAAGAGCTGATAAGGCGACCGGGGATTGATCAAGGGCTAGCGCAACTACACTTCTAGAATCGTTGTCGAAGCTGTTTACCAGGCACAGCCTTGGCCTTTGATGCGTTAAGCCTAACCCTTCAAGCATCAGATCCGGTACCACGGTGACAGGCCTTGTTGCTTGATGTCGTTCTCTGGCCATCCCTGTAAGTCGAAGCCCCAGTCAAAAGCAGTTGCAGGCATTGCTTTTGAAGCCTGAATGACCTGGCACCTGGGTACTGCTGGCCAACCCTAGACTGCGTGCAGATGCATCAATGCGCAGATGCACCTACTTTGGCCCTGCTCCTAAGCAAAACTTCTGCGTCGGGATTCAACATGTCTTACGTTCCAAAAGAAATGCTTACGAGAGTCATTCCCTACTTGCTTATTCGGGGGGATGACCGGTCAGTGTCGTATGGTCTCCTGCCTTGAAGCACCTCAAGGCTGATTTCGCCAATACCCGTATCCAACGCAATGCCGCAGCTTGTGACCTCGATTTCTGCTTGAGCCGGCCCTTTCCAGTATTGTCCTATGATAACGCTCATCTTAGCCTACGCCATACGCGAGCCAGAGTCATTGCCAAGCCGTTCAGTCCGCCAGCCAAGCTTCGCCCGGCACGCGACAAAAGACCAAGACACCACGCTCCGCTACAGTATTTTACTTTCCCATACTCCACAAAGTTCATTAGTCCAAGCACGATCCAATTGCATGGTTTCGATCTAGCGAAGCCAGTGATATGAGCACTTGGCACGGGGCGCCGTCTAGCCGATCCTTGTTGGCCGAGTCGGGAGCCGGCACATCACTTTGCTTGTAAACTTCCCTGCGTGCAATAGTTGCCAACACTGCCAACAACTCCAAGGCTCAAATTTCATGTCCGAGTGTTGAGAGGAGTCTGCTAGCACTACACCTGCTTATCCAATCAAGACTTGGATCCGCCCAGAGCGAATCAGCTGTCATAGTCAGAGATAGTTGGCTCCTTGTGATAGGTTGAGGATACTCAGGGACGAAGGCGATGCGAGAGCACGGTGTCATTCCGGATTATTGGTAACAGAATCGTTATCTCTTGGTTGCCTCGCCACAGGATGATGCACGGAGCAGCTGAAGGGCGGGGTTCGTTGTATAATATGTACGTGTAGTAGCACAGGTTCAGGGTGAGGTTCCAAGTGACTGTTGTTTCTCATCCCTCGCACGGAAAACGAAAACTTGTCCATCTCCTGACGTTTTGCTATACATCGTCTGCAATGGGCGAGCTCGAATCTAAAACAGACGAGATGGAGCGTGCTGCGAGCAGCAACAGCTCACCTTCTGACAATACCATGCCAACAACAGTTGTCGCGGTCGAAGAGAAGAAGACGTTTTGGCAGAGAGTGAAGACTCCAGGCTCGGTATGGCAGATCATCTTTGCCGCTATTCTGGCCATTGCCATTGGTATCGCTGTCACTACCACTGTCGAGGAAGTACCCGAAGCAGCAATTGTTCTTCTCGCAGTCCCCGGAAACCTTTGGCTGCGTGCCTTGCGAGCAGTTGGTATGTGCCATGATAGCCATGTGGGCCGAATCTGGAGATCTAACAGATACAGTACTTCCCATGATTGTCACTGCTATGATCATGGCCATCCAGCGCTTGCGAAACATGACCCAAGGAGGTGGTGCGGCCGGCAAACTCGCTCGCTGGACTGTTGGATATTACGTCCTTACCACTATTCTAGCCGTTGCACATTCTGCTCTGCTAGTTGGTCTAGTCTGGAGCAAGCTGTTTAATGTTGTATCTGGCAGCGCGTTGGAAGTGTCTGAAGAGGACCAGGAGCTCGTCGACGAGAGGAAGGAAACCGCGATCCATGATGTTGTCGTTGACATGTTCTACTCCCTCGTCCCCAACAACATTGTCAACGCCTTGGCTACCGACGCCCTTCTTTCAGTGCTGATCACAGCTATCGTCCTCGGATATGTCATCAAGCCAGGAGGTGCCATCTACCGAGCGGTCGAGGAAGTCGAAGTCATAATCCTCAGAGTGATCACCGTCCTGATCCACTTGGCGCCGATCGGTGTCTTCTTCCTCATCATGCCCAACCTTTTCCGTCTCGATATTGCTGAGATTGGTACGAATCTGGGTATACTCATTGGAGGAACGCTATGCGGCATGTTCATCCACATGTTCATCATCATTCCTATCATCTTTTTCATCTTTACCAGGAGCAACCCATACACTTTCTGGTTCAAGATGAGCCCTGCCTGGATCACCGCCTGGGGTACTGCATCAAGTGCTGCTACTTTGCCCGTCACTATTCGTTGTGTACTAAAGCAGGGTGTTCCCGTCACAGGTTAGTTTGCATGACCAATTTGTTTGTCTGTCACCCGTTAACGTTCCGTAGTTACCAAATTTGCCGTTCCACTTGGTTGTCTGATCAACATGGATGGTACTGCAATTTACTTCCCAATCGTAGTAGTTTTTCTGGCTGCAACTCAAGGCATTACCTTGAATGCTACGGATTACATCATCATTATTCTACTTTCGACCCTCGCCTCTATCGGAACGACGCCGATTCCAAGTGCCAGTCTGGTTCTTGTAGTCATGATTGCCACTAGTGTTGGTGTGCCAATCACTGGAATGTATGCAGTCGTCATTGCAATTGATTGGTTCTTAGATCGCTTTAGGACTGCTGTCAATGTCAGCTGTGACACTTGGGCAGCCAGAATTGTCACGCAAGTTACAGGGATCAAGGACGAGGAGGGTGTAACGTACGATGAGACCGAGAACATTGATCCCAACGCGTTGGGACGCCGGGAAGATGACTCCAGAGTGTAAGAGTATATGATCTGCTTGGTGTTGTTCAATGGTTGCCTTCGTAAAAACAAGTGTTTTCTCACCAGTTAGATCATGCATAATGCCATTGTCTTTTGTTGAACATAAAATCATCCAAGTCGCCTGGAGTGAGATTAATCCAAATTGTTAATCGTTAGTTGATTCCACTTGAGTGTGTTGATGTAGAGTGCGGAAGCAGTGCCGTGCATTTGATGTGTTGGCAGCTGAAAGATTTAGAGTCAAAGTGGGCGCAACGAGTGTCATAAATGCCTCAAGGCACGTGGGAGGCACATGTGCTCCTTCCCGTTAAACCCCACACAACGTATCGCTGAGAGGAAGTGATACCACCAATTCCAGAAACGAACTAGAACAATGTTTAGTGAATCTGAAGAGGTTTTTCGATATCAGCAAGTTTTATGAATCATACTGGATTTTCAAATATCAAGATGAGCATGACTATTGATTGGGGAATGTTCGGAGAAGGTGACATGATTGACTAGTCCTAATGAGGATCTGAATGACCAGTGGTTATGATGAATAGCAACGATCCGCTACTTGTAGAGTTGATCATCCAGCGTTCTTTGAAATATATCTTCTTTGAATCACTTTCTTTGTAGGTAAAACTACAGTACCTAACATGGAACATGGAACAGGACAGATTGGATGATTGAAAAGAGACGCTTGAGATTTTGTTCGTGGGTATCAATAAACGAACACGCTTGGAAGGAGTGATTAAGCTACGTGTATGAAGAGCTGAAAAGGAGAGCACGGGAAGAATGGTTAATCCGAGTCGTCGTCTGCACTATCCTCGCTCTTATCGCCGTCATCATCGTCGCCTGAGTCAACTTCAACATCATCATCGTCGTCATCATCGTCATCATCATCCACTTCAGGGGCATCCTCTTCTTCACTGTCGTCTTCAAGCACAACCTTTTGTTGGGGCACTGGCCTTGCAGCAGCTCTCCGACTTGGCCTTCCAGTGGCTGTGACCTCGTTGGTCTTTCCCCACGCTAGCTCACCCTCTTGGATAGCCTCGAGATCTTTGGCAAACTCTCTCTTCTCCTTGATCTTTGCAGCCTTTTCGTTAGAATACTTGCCGTCCATACCGACGTCTTTCAGCCAACCTTTGAGGACACGGATTTTGTCTTTGGATGTGTCGCATTTCGAGAGTTCTGGGTCGCGAGACCAGACCTTGCGGATGCCGCATTTGACCAACCAACCTTGTAGGCGCTTAACCTCTGCAGTATCGGGATCATCTTCGGCCTTGGATTTGGGTGCTGCCTTTGCTTTTGGTGGAGCCTTTTCTTTCTTGCCTTTTGCTGCTGGAGTCTTTTTCTTCTTCTTGACAGGCTCCTCGTCAATGACGCTTGAAAGATCGCTATCGGATACGTCTCCTTTTGTGTCTGGCGCCTTTGGGGGTGCAGTCTCTGCCTCATCGTCATCGTCATCGGCGGCGGCACTGGGCTTTGACACTGGCGCGGGCGCATCCTCTTCGTCCGAATCGTCTGCGACAACCTTTTTACCGCGCCGTGCAGGCTTCTTTGGCGGTTCGCTTTCAGCGTCAGATATTTCAGCAGGAGGCTCCGAGAGATCGGGCTCGGACTCTTCAGACTCAGATTTGGCGCGCTTCTTGGGCTTCTTTGCAGGCGCAGTAGCTTTTCGCTTCACACCACGAGGGCTCTCGGTAGCAGGTTTAGATTTCTTTGGGGCAGGCTTCGCTTTCGGCTTGGGTGCTGCCTTCTTGGGAGTGGGCTGCGGTGAGGGTTCATCACTACAGAACTTGTCCTAGATTGCGTCTTAGATGGGTCAATGCTACGGCCACTGCTGTTACCGACCACTGCATCTACAATTGTCTTTTGCGACTTTTCCTTCCAGCTCGCGTCGGTCTTGAAGAAGCCCTCGTCTAGGCCTAGCTCCTTCTCGGCGCGCGCCCGAACGCGTTTGACGGTCAAGTCATCCGTCTTGCCAGACTTGTGGATGGCGATGACAATGTCGCGCAGCTTGTTGGTGATTGCTGCCTCGGAAGGCCTTGCGGCCTCTGAATCCGACATGATGGGCTGTGTTTGTTGGTGATGTTGGATGATGGCCGATAATATGGACGCGACAAGGCGCGGGAGCTTGACGGCAGCTCATCGCCTAGTATGGCATGGGGCGTGCACGTGACGTGGTGGAGACATGGAATTGTGTCAATTCGCATCAGGCAGCCCCGCAGCAAATAATGGTGTTGCCAGACACTTTAGCTGGCAGGCCCTAAGACCGCCCAATGCGCTGGTCAATTATTTTTGATAGACAGATAGGATGGAAACATAGTGCGTAGCCCGTGATATTCCCCCTCATCCTTTTGCAGATTCAAGGCAAAGGCGGCATTTGTTGGGCGGCAGGACTAGCCACGCTCTGTTCTTATGTACGTAGGGATGCCCCGCCCACGCGGCGGGCAGCTCCACGGCCGACGTCACAAACACTCGCAGCTTTGGACAATCCCACTCTACCAGCCTCATCTGATTCTTTTCCCATTGCCCACTACCCACACCGCCCTAGAGCCCTAGTCTCGTTCATCCTTGGCCCCTGTTCCGCCTGCATCTGGCCCTGTCGCGCACCCTCTCTCCATCGGTACGGCAGGTAGAAAGTATATGTAGGAGCCAGAGCTCGGAACCTACGAGAACCCACTTGCACTCAGCGGGCCCTGTTTATTATCATACTTTCGTCACCCCAACACCGCGGCTGAAAAACACTGATCCCTCCCCTCTCGCGCCTGCGAGCACTTGTCACACCCCTCACCTCAAGCCGTCACAAGCTGTCCCGCACGCTTGCTGTGCTGACCTCGCCTGATTAAATCCCGCTGTGAATAAATCTCCGTATCCAGCAATCGGACAATCTGCTCCCCTCCTCCAGTCCACTGCCCCTCCACACAGCTCCCGCGCAAACTTCACAAACATGCCCGACGAACCCACACGGCTTGTAAGGCCCGAGGCCTCGGAAGGACGCCTTCTCCTCGTCTCCAACCGTCTTCCCATCACTATCAAGCGCTCCGATGAGGGCAAGTACGACATGTCCATGTCCTCTGGTGGACTGGTCAGCGGTCTGAGCGGCCTGGCAAAGACGACGACCTTCCAGTGGTATGGCTGGCCCGGACTCGAGGTGCCAGAGGACGAGGCCAAGGGCCTGAACGACCAGCTCAAGGAGAAGTACAATGCCGTCCCCGTCATGCTCGACGACGAGCTCGCAGACCGACACTACAACGGCTTCTCAAGTGAGATCACACTGGCGAGCACTATAACGGCCAAAACTAACTTCACGCAGACGAAATCATGTGGCCGCTTTTCCACTACCACCCCGGTGAGATCACCTTTGACGAGTCTGCCTGGGATGCATACACCGAAGCCAACCGTCTGTTCGCAAAGGCTGTTGCGAAAGACGTACAAGATAATGACATGGTCTGGGTCCACGACTACCACCTGATGCTCATGCCGTCTATGCTGCGAGAAGAGCTTGGCGACACAAAGAAGAATGTCAAGATTGGCTTCTTCTTGCACACTCCCTTCCCCAGCTCCGAGATTTACCGAATTCTCCCTGTCCGTAACGAGATTCTGCTTGGTGTCCTTCACTGCGATCTCATTGGTTTCCACACCTACGACTATGCCCGCCACTTCCTGAGCAGTTGCTCTCGTATTCTGTGCGTATCTGCTCTGTATAAATCTGTAGGTTGTGCTAACACACAGCAGCGGTCTGGCTACGACTCCAAACGGCGTCGAGTTCCAAGGTAAGGTCGTAACTGTGGGCGCTTTCCCCATCGGTATCGACCCAGAGAAGTTCGACGAGGGTCTTCAGAAGCCAAAGGTGCAGGAGCGGATAGCGGCTCTCGAGAAGAAGTTCCAAGGCGTCAAGCTGATTGTTGGTGTTGACCGTCTTGACTACATCAAGGGTGTGCCGCAGAAGCTGCATGCTCTCGAAGTATTCCTCACCGAACACCCCGAATGGATCGGCAAGGTCGTGCTTGTCCAAGTCGCTGTTCCCTCCAGACAAGACGTCGAAGAGTACCAAAATCTTCGGGCTGTCGTCAATGAACTTGTTGGTCGCATCAACGGCAAGTTTGGCACCATTGAGTTTATGCCAATCCACTTCATGCACAAGTCCGTCTCCTTTGACGAGCTCATCGCGCTCTATGCCGTTTCAGACGTCTGCCTTGTTTCTTCAACGCGCGACGGTATGAACTTGGTCTCCTACGAATACATTGCAACACAAGAGAAGCGACACGGTGTTATGATTCTCTCCGAGTTCACTGGTGCTGCCCAGAGCTTGAACGGCAGTCTGATTGTCAACCCATGGAACACTGAAGAGCTCGCGGATGCAATCCATGATGCAGTCACAATGGGCGACGAGCAACGTAGCTTGAACTACCAGAAGCTCTCAAAATATGTCCGCAAATACACCAGGTGAGTCTTCCTAGCAACATCCATCATTGGACTAAATCTGACAATTCATAGTGCCTGGTGGGGCGAGTCATTCGTCACCGAGCTTAGAAGGATATCGGAGGCTCCAGACCGCAAGGTGCACTTTGCCAACGTCACTTCTACGGGTGCTGAAGAAAATGCTAAGACTGGCGGAGAGAATGTTACTGAACCTGCTGCTGCGGCCAATGCTCAATGAGAGACATGGCGTGGCGCCTTGACGCAGTCGATGCTTTGACGATGACGAAATTTCATGTGGCGGAAAGACAGCGTGATGGAAATCGCTTGGATTAGGCAGAGATGAAGGGTTCTGTTCTTGCGGTGCCTGCTCAATTACTAGACCCTTTTTACCTAGAGACTGTAGCGGACTACATTTTTACAACAAATTATACCCCTTCCATGGACAAGATGAAGTTTATGCCAACTGTCAGTTTTATTCATAATACAAACGGACCGGGGTGTTAGTGCTGTTGATCTTCTGGTACGTAAATGCCCAACTGAGTTGCAGTTTCTAGAAATAGGACCGTCATTGCAATGCCTTTGTTCAAACCCTGGTGAAAGAATCATTCTCTCATTTTTACTCGATGTTTATATCCAAACGGCAGTACGGCAGCACGTGGTGCAGTGTAGCAGTAACGCTCCAACCACTTTCATCTTGGTATCACAACATGGAGAAAAGTAACAAGCCACATGCCTCTCGGGTGTAACTGCAGCACAACGTCAGTGAAGATAAACGGGTAGTTACATCGACTACCGAGTACATAAACAGCCTTATTCAGCTGTATCTCCTCCGCCCAAGCACTTCCACCATCAACTTACCAAATCAATTCGTCTATCACGTGGATTTTTTGTATCTGGTTGCTATGTAGTGTATCAGATCAATCATCCAAGAAAAGGATGGCATACCACACCCTAATCTGCCTAAATCGAGTATCAAAAAAATAATAATAACCTTGCAGTCAAAGGTATAAAAAAAGGATTCAGATGAGCCCCAGCAAGACACTGCTTCTCGACCCCTAGTCGAACAAAAAAAATCCTCCCAACCCTCACCCTATTCAACGCCACACACAATGCGGCATAGGCTCCTCAACACAAACCTCCCACTGCGAACAATCCGCCACAAGCCTCCACAACCCCCGCTCATTACACCGGAAAACAGCTCCATCCTTTCCTTGATCATTCTTCGCCAGACAAGCTAGTTGGCCCTTTTCGCACCCCTTTCCCCTCGACTTTTTCACCATTGCTCCAGTACTACTACTACTACCCCGATCCGACCCTACACACCGCACTCCACCCACCCCATCACTCGCACATTCGCACGCGTTTTGCACCTCACACTTCCCAGCGCGACACACGGCAATCCCGACGGACCCGTGCGAACGCAGTGTTGCGCACTGCGTACTTGATGAGGGGCAGGGGGTTGTGAGGGGGCTGCATGGGGCGGTTGAGGGGGTGCATGGGGGGAGTTGGGCGAGGTGGGCGAGGGAGAGGGTTGGGGTGGAGAGGGTGAGGAGGGTGAGGAGGAGGTACATGGTAGGTTTGTGGGGTGGGAGAGGGGGAGAGATGGGAGCGATGTGTGAATGATATGGTGGGTTTATAGGTATTGAAGCGTTTTGGTGTACTGTGTGTTCTTATTGCAACCGTAATTAATTTGGTTGACGTAACCTAATAGAGGTTGTACTTATGTTTGGTAATTATTACCACTCGACTTTTCAGGTTTTCTTCATTGGTGTGTTGGGCAGGTATAGTCGTTCCCTTCTGCTTCTTCTTCCTTCTCACTCTCCTCGAGATTATCGGAGTCATGAATAATACAAGACAGTTCGAAACTTTTTCACTGTTGACGAGATTTCATTGCCTAGAAATATCTACATTGGGCTCCCGCTTAATCTTCTAGTAGCCCAAGCCACAAAACATCACCCAGACTCATATATACATCATCCTCCTACTCCGCTTACAACTCCCTTACATATTCTTAACCAAATACCTCAACCCAGCCCACATCTCCTCGGCACTAGGCACAATCTGCTCCTTGGGCAGGACAAAGCCATACTTACCCGTATCCCTCAACTCAACCGTCATACTATACGTAGCCTTTGCAACTTCAAACGCATAATCCACGCTATCGCCACTAACCTGGTAGATGGTGTTGCAAATGGGGCCGCCGGTAAAGGCGGTGCCATGTACTGCTTTAACGGCGGCAATGGCACCGTTGGTTAGCGAAGAGTACTTTGCGGCGCTGGGGAGAGCACCGGAGCAAGTGTAGCCGTAAGGGTACATCCAGAGTTGGCTGTAGGCGTGGATATCCATGTAGAGGGTTATGCCTTTGCCGGCGGCGATGCTGTCGAGGTGTGCTTTCAGGGCTTTGGTTTCTACGCCGTCGCCGGCGGAGGGGCCCTTGTAGTCTTGGTCGCAGGGCGAGGTGGAAGCGCCATTGGCTTGGTTCCAGTGGGAGGGCCAGTTGCCTTTTTTGCAATGGTTAGGTTGGGGTTGTTTTTTTTTGAAAGGGGAAGGGGAGGGGAACTTACGGTTGATGTCCCGGCCTACGCACGAGGCGCTGGGAGTGGTCTGGCGGTTCTTGCGCCACATGCGGTCGGTGGTTTGGCTGTAGGCGAAACCATCAGGGTTGACGATGGGGAAGATGTAGAAGTCGTATGAGTTTTTGAAGCCGGCGGTCGTGGCATCGGTGGAGGTAAGGAGCTGGTATGCTGCGTACTCGACGACCTGTAAATGTGTTAGCAGAATTCCTCAATGCATTCAATCTTTTGGCTTGAAAAAGAAGGGGAAATTTACCATTGTAGTGATCCATTCACGTGCGTGCACAGTGCCGTGCCATACTACACCCTTCTGTGACCCCTTACCGCCACTACCCCAGATATGAATACCCTTGATATCACGTCCCTCAACCGACTTGCCTGCAGAGATTACCTCCGCGTTCTTGGGGTATGCAGCCACAAGATCGGTAATCCATTGCATGTGATCGGCAATAGAGTGGTAAGAATCAAACCACGTCGCGTTTGGTGCAAGACCAGCTGACAGAAGTTAGCCTCCCCCATGTCACTTCTTCAATTTACTGGACGCGGGAAACAAGCGTACCGGCATATGTGCTAAAACTCTGCTCGTCTGCGATAGAAAGGCCAAGATTGTCATGCATGACCTTTGTTTCGAAACCCTGAGTCTGAGCCTCAAAGTCCTTGACTGACGACGGCGGCACCATGACATCGACGACATCGCTCGATGCAGGCTTGCCCTTCCACAGCTCAAGCTGCAACTTGCTCATTACATTCTCGAGCTTCGCAGCGTCTGTGCCGACATTGACACGGACTACTTTCCAGTCGTCGTAGTTTACCTTCTTGGCAACGGTGGCGGCGGAGGCGAGGCCCAGCGAGGCCAGGGTGACGCTGAGGAGCTTCATAGCTGGCTTGCAAGAATGAAGAGATGGAGAAGAGAGAGAGAGAGAGAGAGGGAGAAGCGTGGCCTGAGGACAGAAGACAATGGAGCTCCAGTCGTCTCTAATATACAAACGCAGCGAAACAAAATAAAATGCTCCCATGACAAAAGTACACGCCCCGCCGATGCAGTACGACGGCTTCATTCCACATTGGGCCATCGCCAGCCTACCATTCCCTTACACCTGCCCGACTGGCCTTGGCCGCTCGCCGGGGCAGCAACCTTGCTCAGGAAGCTGGTTTGCCATAATCTGAGTAGGCACTGGGGACCATGGCGGGCAAGTGGTTAATATCGTTGCTGACTGCGAGATAAGCCTGGGTGGCCCGGGTCAAGCCTTATGCGCCTAGATGGTGATCTGCAGGGGATTTGCGCCGTGGCAGGCCAGCCAACTGCCACTTTGGGTATCGCGCAACATGTAGACTACGCCTGCGATGTGCGAATGACTTGCGGGGGATACTGTATGTGTGGGCCCGTATGCTGTGCAAGATGGAATGCTACTGGTGACGCGATTGGTGAGGTGGTGTGTGACCTTCCCCTTTGGCCATGGAGGGGACCGGGTGTAGCTGTCGAGTACAGATCCATGTCAGAATGTGGGCTGAGAAGGTGCTGAAAGTGATGCGTTCGAGGTAGATAGTATATTCAGCACTGTATAGTAGCAATACATGGGGGGCAGTATTCTAGTCCTTTCACTCCTTCTTCAGCCCAACCTTACCCGCCTTCCTCAACCCCACAACCGCAATCCCCATGCACACCACCATATACCCAAACATAAGCCAATAGCTCGCCCTGTACCCTTTCAACACCGCTCCCTCATCCTGATCCTCAAACGCACTTCCCCCACCATGTCCACTTCCGTGCCCACCCCCGCTACTACCACCAGCGGGACCCTGCACTCCCAACGCCACAACCTGACAACTCCCCATGCCCAAACTCATACCAAACTGCGCCACAGTGTTGAACACCGCGCCCGCCAGCGCCTGTGTCTTTTCCGGAAAACTATCACTGACGATGATGAGACCGACTGTGAATAGCACGTCTGCGCTAAACGGCGCGAAGATCTGGGCCCAAAAGGCAAGTTTCCAGTAGCTCCAGGCTGGCGGGACAAGCGCCATGAGGAGAGGCGATAAGGCGCAGATGAGGGCTGAGCCCGCCACTAGCCAGCGGGCGGGGACACGGTGGATGAAGAGGCCTACGAAGATGTTGATGAGGACGCCGGTGGTGAGGTTGGGGAGAAGGTAGAGCGAGGTTGTTAGTGTAGAGGCGTGTCGGATTTCTTGGAAGCTGTTGAGTTTAGTTAGCAGTTGAGTTGATAGAGAGGGTATAGTGCGGCGTACTAGAGGCTAGAGAAGAGCTCGATGGAATTCATGACACCGTAGGATAGGGCGACCATGATGCAGGTGCTGGTGAAGGGGAGGTTCTTCCAGAGTTTGTTTGGGACGAGAGCTGGTTTACCGGTTTGTTCGCGGTAATGCATCCATAGTGGGAAGGCGGCGAGAAGGAGGACGCTGATGGCGAGGAGGGAGGCTGTCGTAGCTGAACGGATGCTTGCGAGGTCTGCGCTGATGATGCTATATGTTGTGAGTATAAGGTAGTAATAGATCATGCAGTGACTCACGCTAGGACGTAGGCAAGAATAGCCAAACCACCACTGGAAATAATCGCACCAACCCAGTCTATCTCTTTGCCTACCTTCTTCGATAAGGCGGCTACACCATCGTTATTCTGAGACGGTAGTTTTGGCAGTGTCCACAGAGCAGCAACAGCAATAGCTAGAGTACATGCTCCAGCCAAGTAGAATCCCGACCTCCATCCCGCTCTCTCAATCATAACACCACTAAGCACAAGACCAACAGCGAACCCAAGCGGTTGACTAAACCCCAGACACGCAAACCCCAGATTCCTCGCTCTTCCAGACGGCACAGCCCCCGTTATGATAGCAACAGAAGCCGGCAGATGCATCGCCAGCGCAATACCCTGGAGAGCACGGAAAACAACGAGCTGAGCGCCTGACTGTGCAAATCCGCATAGCAAGGTAAGAATACCGAGGAGGGTGATACCAGCAAGTTCAACGGGCCTGGCACCAACAATGTCGGCAATGGAGCCTGCGGTGAGCAGGGCAGCACCGGATGTCAGTCCGTAGACGGATGAAGGCCATAGGTATAGAGACCGCTCGAGAGAGATGGAGCGCGCTATGATTGGGAGGCCGACGGTGATGATGCCATTGGTGAAACTGGCCATGAAGCCTACGAAAGATGGTGTGAAGATTGTGAGGAAGGTGCGTAGGGTAGTCGGTTTGGGAGTGGATGACGGGGGTGATGGAGATGATTCGGTATCAAGCATGCCATGGTTGATGGATGGAGTTTCTTCTGATGTTCCTGGTGTGTATGGAATCGATGCGGGCTTGGGTCTTTGGTGAAGTTCAAAGATTTCGGCCATGGACTCTTCCGTCTGGGTAGCCATTTCTGAAGTCGTCTAGGAGAACAGACTGATTTTTTTCCTTCTTCAGAATCAACATAGATTTCAAGAAAAGTGATATTTATCATAGATGGTTGATATTCGAGCACATTCCAACTTGGACTGCGAACCAAGCCGTTGGACGACTAGCCGCACGCCCTACGCCTTGAAATATGTCAAAATCTAGAATCTACTTTTCTAGGGGGGTTGAAAAAGACCACTCCTAGGGCTAGAAGAGCAGGAAGATTTTCTCAGGCTGACAGATGACAGAATACACATGTCAACGTGCGGTTAGCATCACGCATTGCTACTGGCTTGATTCAGGTGGAGGGTAAGCCACAGTGAGATACGCCAAGACCCTGACCTCTTTCTACAGGGCTACGCATCTATTCGTATGAGGTAGTCAATCCATTTCGAATCTCTTCCCTTCCAAAACCAAATGTAACTCCTAGATATTGAAGAACATTTCAGCATTAGAACCCAATCTTCCTTGGACGGTCTGAGACGCAGGAAGGAGTTTCCAAGTTTTAGCGCCGAGCAGGCTTGCTGAATTTCTCCTTGATTGACTACTACTACTACATCAATTTCTGGGCCAAGAATACTATATCCAGCCAGTTCAGATAGCCTGGGCCAGCCAATGCAAACCATTGTAAATGTATGGTAGCAAAAATAAAATAAAATGTTGGGCAGAGGAAGATGTAAGGCTGCTGCGAGGGACCTTGCAGTGCTGCAGGGTGCCATGGGCCGCCTAGTACCCGCTGCGAAAGAGCGGTCGCGGGTGACAACGACGAAGCCGACCGCTGCATGGGCTGCAACCATGATTGGCGCAGTGCATCGGGATGGTACCTGGATACTGCAGTCTAGGCGTTTTCATCTCATTCTCATCAATTACTGGTTGCCGCGTGGCAATGGTGTGGCAGGGAACGTGCTGTTGCTGCATCAACCGTTTGTTTGGGTGAGGCGTGACGTCGGCTCGCTTCCCCAGCCTCCTCCTAACCACCTGCATTTGCTCCAGCCACTCGACTACTGACCTCTCCAGCCAAACCAAAAGTCCCTGGCAAAGACTGCTCCTCTCCTAATCCCCTCAACCACACAAACTTACCCATCCTTATATTTCTGCTAGAACATCAGCCTGACTATTTTGTTGCTAGTTGCACTCGCTGTTTTCAAGTCCGACACAACCCATCTTGTATCGGCGAGAACACAAACACTACCGGCTCGCCCATCATGGCGCCCCATCCCGAGATTGTTGCCGATGCACTCTCTCCCATGGCTGTGAATGCTTTGCAGCAAGCAAAGTCTCTGGCCAAGCGCGAAGACCCCTACAGGCAACTTGCTTCGGCTGGAGCAAAGCCACCGCTCGACCTCGCTGGTCCTGGCTTCCAGGCCCTGTTCGCTCTCATTGGCATTGGAATGGCCTTTATGGCCATTTGGTTCTTCTTCTGGGCCAAGAATGGCGGCTTCAAATGGCGTGAGGGTGACTGGGAAGACTACAAATCCACCGTGCTGCGACGCAAGGGACCTGACGGCAAGACTCTCTCCAACGCTACCAAGAGCACCAGGCTCGGTGGTGGCAGTGTTGTTCACGGCGGCAGCTACTTTGGTGCTCAGAGCGATCTTGGTTACACGGATGAGAGTGGAACTACCGTCACTTCAAGCACCTACACCGACGCTGAAAAGGGCGAGGCCGGCCTTCGTGGCGGTGATGGACGCAAGCACAAGAAGCACCGTCGCAACCACACCAATGACTACAACGACCCCGAGCTCCGTCAGTACCGTGAGGAGAAGGCTGCCCGTGTTGGTGGTCTGAACCGTGTCGGCGATGGCAAGTACACCGACTATTCTGGCTCTCAGCCTTCTGAAGTCGGCGGCTCCCAAGTCTCTAGCAACGTCCCCCTCGTCAAGAAAGAACCAAAAGAACCAAAAGAACCAAAGGATCCCAAGAAGGAGGCCAAGGCCAAGGAGCAACGTGCAAAGGAACGCATGCGCAAGGCCAAGGCCGCTGAAAAGGAAGCCGCAAAGAAGGAAGCCGCCGAAGCCAAAGCCCGCAAGGAAGAACAGAAAGCCGAAGCCAAACGCCTCAAGGACGAGCAAAAGCGATCCAGGAAGAACGGTGCACCCTCTGAAGCCCCCGAGATGGCCGAAGTCAGCCGCCCCATGATCGAGTACCACCCAGCTGAATCCGAGTACACACGCGCCTACACCGAGTACACCGCTCCCTCTGTTGTTGACACCACCCCAACCCGCGCTCCCACCCGAACCAGCAAGGGCCCCAATGGTCCGCGCCGTGCACCTCCCTCAGCAGCCTACTCGTTCACCACTGGCGACGACACCGAAACCGTCTACACCGGCGTCAACACCAACGACCCAGACTCTCCCCCCGCCAAAGCCCCAGCAAAGACCTCGCGCACCGCCCCCACCGAAGTCACCGAATCAAGCTACTACTCGGACTACCGCCCCAACGCCGACCCCTCCCTCTACACAGACCCCAACAAGCACGCCCCCCGCTCC